CACAACTGTATGTGAATTTCACAGATTTCTTCATAAATATTAATATTTCCGCATATTTATTTAATATAAATATTTATTTTGTAATTAAAGTACAAGGTTTCATAATAAATAATAAAATGTTATTTATCGTTAAAAGTAAAGTGCATTACTTTAATTTTCTATTTTATTGTTTTTTATTTTCGAAATTTCAAAGTACAAAATCAGAGACTTTATAAATTCTCTATTCAGTCATATAAAAAATATTTTCTTGTAGTATTTTTTGTTATTAATAAAATTATTTTTTTTTAAATTTAAAATTAATTTAAAATGAAATTTATTAGTGTTTTAATCCTTTTAATATTCAATTCGATTTTATGGAGTTTAATTAATTCTGTTAAAAATAATAAAAATCAAAAAGAATTTAATAGAGTTGATGAAACTTCAAAGAATTTAAATAAAATATTAAATGATGGCGCTGAATCATCGGTTGCTCCCCAAATTGATGAATACAATAAAGAAACTCTGAAACCATATAAAAAAATTACAAAAAAGCAAAAAACTGAAAATAATGAAGAAAAAAAAGTAAAGAAAAACGAATATATGAAGAATTACTACCAGCAACACAAAAAGGAGAGACAAGATTATAATCGAAATTATCTACAAAATAATAAAGAAAAGACTCTACAATATAATAAAGATTACTATCAAAAGAATAGAGATAGAGTGGTTCAAAGTGTAATAAAGTACAGTAAGGCTAATAAAGAAAAGCGTCGCGAATATCAACGAAAACATTATCTAAAGAAGAAAACGGAACGAGAAATCCTACAAAAGGATAGGTCAGAATAAGTTAACATTTTTCCTGATAATGAAGTAACTTCTTTTGTTACTCCACAAAACGACGAGTTTATTAGAAAGGACAATATTGGAAATAAAGGCGACGAAAAAAAGTTAGCGAAAAAAGAATATTATAAAAATTACTATCAAAAGAATAAGGAAAAGATAGGGGAATATAATAAAAAATATTATTTAAAAAGAAAAAATGGTAAAGAAAATTCACAGAATGATAATTATATCAATAAAGGTAAATCGCCAATTGAATGTAACGACAATGTTCAGATAAATAATAAGGAAGAAAATAATAATACTGAAGGAAATTTATTCGTTAATAAACAGATGTCTGATTGTGTAAATATTTTAGCTGATACAAATGCTTGTCATCATGAGCAACCAAATGTTCAAGTACCTGACAGCCTTCATATTCAACAAATGGATGATCATGATGATTTAATTGATTTGAGTTTTTTGGACGATCCGAATTTTTGGGATGATTTTAATTCATTTCTTAATTCATAAACATATTTCAGATAAACAAGTGGATTAATTTCAAATATGAAAACAAAAAAATCTCTTTCCGTTCTTTGTATTTTTTTTCTTAATTATAGCTGTAAGGAACTGTTATAATCTTCCTTTCTCTACTCATAGTTTTAATTTAATCATTCTTCCTTTTGAATTTATTTTATTAAAGAATAAGATATTTTCTATTCTCACTAGAGTACTATAACAAGTTTAAAAAGTAATTAAAAGCTGAATTAATTAAATGAAAACATAATTTTTTAAATATTGTATTTTTTATTCAACTGACATTACAATATATAAATTTATAGTCAATAGATTTCAGAAATTTTTATTAAAAAGTAAATAATTGAAATAATGATAATTATTAAATTATCATTATATCTGAATATTTATTAATATTATTAAATATTAATTTCTTATAAATTTATTTTTAATCTTTAATCTTAAACTTTATTTATTTATAAATTTTTAAGTTTCTTTTTTAATGCAGCTGCGCAAAGGAACAGAGTATGATTAAAGTTACAAAATTTTGTGACAGCTTTTTGATATTTCTTTCGCTTTTTATATAAATTTTCATTCTACTAATTTTGCTCAACAATTAAAATTTTTAATTAAAATAAATTATATTTTTTATTTGTATTCTTTTTAAGAAACTTTATAATTTTTTTGGAGAAAGTCTAAATTAGTTTTAGACTTTTAATAACGATAATTATCTTTTGCGGCTCCTAATTTTATTAAAAATGAGCGTGAGGAAATTATGAAATTCGAAGTAAGTTAATAATTTTGAATATAGTAGTCGGCAAATGTCTTTGAATTTTATAAATTTCTTCACAAATATTGATAAATATTTCCGCATTTATATTTAATATAAATATTTATTTTGTAATTAAAGTACAAGGTTTCATAATAAATAATAAAATGTTATTTATCGTTAACAGTAAAGTGCATTACGTTAATTTTTATTTTGTTGTTTTTTATTTTCGAAATTTCAAAGTACAAAATCACAGACTTTATAAATTCGCTATTCCGTCTTATAAGAAATATTTTCTTGTGGTATTTTTCGTTATTAATAAAATTATTTTTTCTTAAATTTAAAATTAATTTAAAATGAAATTTATTAATGTTTTAATCTTTTTAATTTTCAATTCGATATTATGGAGTTTAATTAATTCTGTTAAAAATAATAAAAATCAAAACGAGTTAACTATAGTTGAAGAAACATCAATGGATTTAAATAAAATATTAAATGATGGGGCTGAATCATCAACTAATCCTCTAAATCAAAAATATAAAGAAATATTAAAATTTAAGCCTAAAATTACTAAAAATGATAAAACAGGAAATAATTATAACGAAAAAAGGTTACATAGAAAAGAATATCTTAAAAACTACTATCAGAAGAATAGAGAAGCTAGGCAAGAATACAAGAAAATTTATTACCGAAATAACAATGAAAAGATGCGAGGATCTTCTCGAAAATACTACCATAATAATAAGGAAAAGAAACTTGAAAGTATGCGAAAATACCGACTAAGAAAGAAAAATGAAACCCCACAAAATGATTGTTTAAAATTAATTAAAATTCAATCTCATAATAATGAAGGAACTTCTTCTGATAATCAACAGAATAATAATTATGGCGCTGGTCTATTTTATGCGTCCAATGAAACTTTATGAATCCAATCAAAAAATAATTGGATTTTTCTTAGTATTGCAAAGTAGGGGTATGGTTCCAAAACATTTCTTAATGTTCGGGACCTAGGCCCACTGGGTCTGAGACGACTCCTTGCCCTATCCCTCGAAATTTCAGAAAGTTATAGCCAATTTTTAAAAATTTCGGAAAAACCATACCTTTGGGAACATACATTGAAAAATCTAATTTTTTGTTGATTGGACGCATAAAAGTTTAATTGGACTCATAAACTAGACCAGCGCCATAATTATTTACAAAAGAATAATTTAATCCAGTCTTTTAATAATAAAAATGAAAATAATAGTGTATATCCCTCAGGAAATGAGGATTCCGTGAATGATTTATTTGACCACTTTGCTTGCACTTATGAACAGAAAAATGCTCAATATGATCATCTTACTAAGCAAGATGATTTGAATGATTTGGATGATCTGAATAATTTAGATGATTTAAATTTTTTGGATGATATTTAAATTTCTTATGATGGTATGAATTTTTTAAGTCAACAAGTGGATTATTATTTTGAAAACGTAAAATTATTACTTTCTGTCTTTTTTTGCGTTTACTATTATATTTTTTTCACGTTTCCAAGGTTGGAAATAAAATCATAAATAAAACAATAATAAGATTTTTAATTGAAAAAAGCGAAGACACCCGCCTACACCATCCTTCAGAATTCAGAGAATTAGTAATCAATTTTTAAGAGAATTTTAACGAGTTTTTCGAAATTTTTTTGCCGACTACTTTTAATAACATTAAATAACTTAATGAAAAATGTAAAGACAGAATGCAAAGATTTCCGTTAATATTCATTTAAAACATATCTTACCCCCTGTTTCGGTAGATGGACATCTTTGTAGTTTAAATAAAACGTAGTTAATTAAAATTATGCAGTTATAGCGATAATAATGCCAAATTATTTTATTAGAATTAAGAGTCTATCTATGTAAATTAAATTGATTTTGGAAATAAATAATTTTTTAAATAATTAATTGGCCAATGAAGGGACCTAGGTGATACCCACAATTTAAAATTAAATGTGGAAAAACATAAATGTGTAAAAAATTCATGAAAAGACTCGATTTGAAAAGTATATCTAAAAGTAAAGTGGAACTGTAGCAAATATATTTAGAATTAATTTTGGTATTTTGGACAGGAAATTAATAGGAAATTTATTTCTAGGGAGTATGTCTTACTAACAAATATAATAATAATTAAAAATTCTAACGGTCCGAATAAGCCCATATAAGGTAAAAATTTGAAAGTTATTCAAGGAAAACAACGGTTTTTGGTTGATTTTATCATCATATTTTAAAGAGAATTTTTTTGCCTATCGAAAGATATCAAATTTATTAAAATCGGTTGATCCATTCTTTAGTTCACAGACTTAGACTTAACCTAGTCTGTGCATATTTGCAAGTCCAGCTTGCTAATAAAAAAATAAGAAAATGCAAAACTTGCTTTTACTGCTTAAGAGTTCTTAAATAAACTTGGGCACACTTCAATTTCCTGTATTAACAATTTTATAGGCAAAATTGTTTTTGGAAGTAAAGGAGAGGTGAGGGACTGAGAGAAGGGGATTTATTGAATATTTATTGAATAAAAAGAGGAAGAATTGAAAATAAATAAAATTTTGCTCAGTATTTTTAAAATTTTTAAGGATAAATTTAAATATTGTTTTCTAATTTTGAAAAGAAAAAACCCTCTATATTACGTACTTCGACAATATATCGTTTTATAAGTCTTATTACACAGAAATGATTTTTAGAGCTATTAAATTATGTAGTTAAATAATTGATATAGGACTCTGTTGCTCCTGTTGTGCAAATCACAAAACTATAATTTTAGGTTCATATGTCTGACTTACAATTAGAATAAATACTTATAAACAAGATCAACTCAATTTTAATATAACAAGGGTATGATATTTTGAATTGAGGCGTAATATAGAGGTATGTATCAATGATGTCGCTCACCCTATTTTTAAATTTTTTACTTTATTTCGTTTATTTAGTCCACCGTTTATATGAAAATTGTTTAGCAACATCATTGGATACATAATATTTTTTAAAATAATTTTATAAACCAGCCTGATTAATTTCTCTAAGCTGCTCATCTTTTGTTCCCCAATAGGCAGCCTTCCTCCTGCCCCAACGTAAAAGGGTGCACGATCAACGATGTCCACTGTTGTTCCACTACTTGTGTCTCTACTAAATAATACAAAATAATTATATGTTTTTAAAGTATATTTTCATTAACCTCAATGAGGTTGTAGTGTTCGGCAAATAGATTTTTCTGTATTCGGTATACCGAAAAATACAGATTTTTTCAAAAATTTTCCGGTTCGGTATCGGTATTTTTACAAATTTTGAAGGACTACAAGTGGATTTGGAAGGATATCAAGGAATATTAAGGGATTAAGTGTGGGTGAAATCAGATGATTTGGATGGAAATAAAATGATATCACCCTTAATCTGAAACGATTGTTCCGCATTTTGATCATAAGGATATTGGAGGGTTGAGGCATTTCAGGAATTTAAGAGGTATTTTATGTGATACCAGGAAAATAAGATGGCTTTGAGGGATTGAGGAGGATTTGCTTGGATACTGATAAATTAATAGACTGGTGAATAAGACAGCGATCGCTGATGTTGGGCCAATATTATTAAGTGTCTTTTTAAAATATTTATATTTCATTATATATTATTTGAAACGACAAGTGTTGCAGGAAGGTCCAAACTATTGACAAATAAAGTTTTAATCGAAATATTAATTAATGACAGACAAATTATGAAATCTCAAAGGGCATTTAATATTAAATAATTATTTTTAAATCTTTAAAAAATATTTAATTTTCATTGAAATGAAAGTACATAGGTACTTTTCAAAATACAAAAGGAAAACTGCCTTTGTCGGAGGATTTGAATTAAGTTAGGTGGATTTTAGTGATATCCTGATATTTCAAGGGAGCTAAGGGAATAGCAAGGGATTTGGTCTTCTGAAACTTGTGTGTTCAAACTTGGCCTTCAGAAATTCTTAAAATTTAAGCCAGAGGCGTAAAATGAGAGAGATAGAAGAGGCGGATCTCGTGATCATATTTCGACGATTTACCTAATCCGAGGATATTCCAATTAAACCCCCGAATTTCACAGATTTTGCTCTTAATACAACAACTCTAATTAAGAGTGCAAAACTACTCTAGTAATTAAATTTTAAATAAAATTGCTAAAATATATAAATCTGGAAATATAAAACAGAAAACTACTCTAGTTAACTCGAACTACTCTAGTTAAGAGTGCAACTCTAGTTAAGAACTACTCTAGTTAAGAGTGCAAAATTAAATATATAAATTAAATTTCAAAACAATAACAATAATTTAACTCTTTCTTTAATTTCTCAAAAAATATTTATTATTGATGCACTTTCCTTTCACTGAATATTTATTTGTTTATCAAATCATATTTTTAAAGTGCTTGAATATTTCTTAATTTGTCTGACAATAATTAATAAAATACTCTTTGCGGCATTAGATAAAATTCTCATTGCGTCATAATTATTTTTTAAATAATTACATAATATAAGAAAGTCTATTATTATATTAGTTAAACAAAATTATAAATACAATTAAATTTTAAATAAATTTTTAAAATTAATTTAAAATGAAATTTATTAGTGTTTTATTCCTCTTAATTTTCAATTCGATATTATGGAGTTTAATTAATTCTGTTAAAAATAATAAAAATCAAAGCGAGTTGATTAGAGTTGAGGAAACTTCAAAGGATTTAAATGAAGGATTAAATGAGAGGGCTGAATCATCTATAAATGAAAATCGAACAGAGAATTTAACTACAGAACCTACCGATACAAAAAATACAAAAAAGTACAAAACTCGAAATAATGAAGCAGAAAAAAAGTTAAAGAAATCTGAGTATGATAAATATTACTATCAGAAGTTGAAAGATAATCAAGCTTTTAAGGAAAGAAGGAGACAGTATATGAAGATTTATCGCAAGAATAATAAAGAAAAAGTTAAAAAAATTGTGGCAAAATACAACCAAAATAATAAAGAAAAGAATAAAGAATATAAACGAAAATATTATTTAAAAAAGAAAATTGAAAAAGAAAATCAACAAAATGAAGGTTCAAAACGAGTAAACGTTCAATCTGACAATCCGAAGACTGATAAAGGTAAATTGCCTGTTGTTTATGAAGGAAACATTGGGTTTGAAGAAGAAAATAATAATCTTCGAGGAGAGGAAGAAAGTAATGAAGACGAAATGGCAGAAACTTCTGTGGATGAGCAAAATCGCAATGTGGTAGAAGAGCCAGATAAAATTAATGAAAATGACACAAATCAAATAAATTTAAATATTTATCCATTTGATCTTAACGAGAAACCTGAAAATGAGGAAGAGAATGATAAAGAAGTAGAAAAATAAAAAAGAAAAAATTGTTCATGAATAAAGACTTGAATGAAAATTTTTTATTACAATTGTTTAATGACGTTAAAGTAAATCGCAGATTTTAGAACAGTGTTTCTTTGTTCAGCTGTCGATAATATAATGATAATTATTATTTATAATAATTATAATTATCGATAATTATAATCATATTATAATAATTACTAGCTTGTCACCTTTTTCTGTTTCATATTTTCAGATTTGTATATTTTAGCAATTTATTCTAAGTTTTAAATCCACTCAGACTTTGGAACTTAATACAATGGAAAAACAAGTAATCTAAGTATTTCTTTGACGACACAACCCAATCTTTAACTTTTTGTTAGGTATGTGTGGGTCTAGTACAAAAGGAGTCGTTAGCGATCAGTCTCGGTGTCCTTAGTCATTCTCGCCTTTTGCCACCTTCATTATTATTGTATTTACCATTCGGATAGACGTTATAATCTATTCTTGTGTTATTCTGTTTGTCATTAGGTAAGACTGCTACCTAGGACATAACTCATTTTCGCTTTTACCATAATGATACCAGAAAAGTTAAAATACCTTCAGAATAGTTAAATACCTTCCAAAGATTTCGGAAACGGACTGATCTCGATTTTGTAAAAATTAAATTTACCTGTTTTCGTTTCCAAAACTATCAACACTACCAACCAAAGCCTCTGCGCTGTGTCGATCAAAAACGATTGAAGGGATATGTGTAGTGGAAGAATTTGATGATGAAAGAAAATTATTTTTATTAAATTTGGAGGGTAAAAGTATAGGAGGAGGGATATGGTCGTTGTTGTTGTTGCTTTCAGAGTGCTGATATGGAAAATATGTGAAGGAAGGTGAGGATAATGAAGAGAAGGAAGTAGCTGATAAAGAATGTGACTTGGATTCTTTTCTATAAAAATAAAATTTTAAGAATTTTTTATTTGAAAGAAATTGTGGATAGGGAGATAATAAAGAGATAATTAATAAAAAAGGGTTATTTTAATACACTTGTCTATCCATTATACTGTGAATCCTATAATAAAGCCGCACCTTAATTACTTTGGTATTAAGTAATTACTTTGGTATTAAGTTGAGAAATATAGTACTGGGATTTTATACCACATTAATTTATCAGTTTCGCTTATTTTAATGCCTTTTAATTATTAGTTCATTACCAACAGGTTAAAAAATATAGAAAAATAAAGCTCGCTGTTCAAAAATCATATGATGAAACAATAGTTTTAAAACACAAATTGAAACTGGGAACCTATCCAATACACTGGGAATCTATCCGCTCAAAAAATCCCACCTATAAAATGCTCAAATCGTCAGCATGAGCGACACAAGTGAAAGATTGTAAAAAATTAGAAATTAAAGAATTTAAAATTAAGAAATAGAAATTAAAGAAATCTTGTATAGAGAGTCTGCTCAATCAAAAAATCAAACTACTAATATGTTGACTAAAGATTGCCATTTTTCAATAAATATTTGAATTTCCGGACAAAAAATCCTTTATTTTAATAAAAGTTAATCCTTTTGTTTTTATGAAAGGACTTTGCTAACAAATGACATTTAATTTACTTCCAAATCCTTATGAGGAATGCTTAATGTAGAGTGAGAAATTTACATATTATCGACAAAAATTTTAATAAATTAAATTTAATAAGGACACTGTTTCAAAAAATAAAGAATTCTTAAACTGCAAGTAAGATGCATTTTTAATTAATTCTTAGACACTATATATTTGCAATTTTTGGATGATTTTCAGAATATAAAAATAAATTTGAAAATTAAATGACAAAAAGTCATTTAAAAATAAATGTATTTTTAAATAAGTAAAGCTTCTAAATGTCAGCTGGACAATAAATGTGTTTTTAATTTTGAGAAAATTTTTAAGTAAAAATAAATAAAGGAAAAATAAATAATAAAAACATGCATAAAATGAGCAAAATGAAAAGGAGATTTTCAAGTTTATAGTGTCAAAAAATTTTTTTTGTGAAGAAATAATTGACAGATGGATATATTTCTAAATTATTATAATGACCCCCTTTTTTATTATCAAGAGAAGGAAGAAGAATTTTGGTTTGGAAGTAAGGGATGAGGATGTGTAAAATTTAAAGAATTTACATTAAAGAAATTTATCTAGGAAAAATAAACTTGTAATTAGAAAGGGTCTAAATAATCTGCCATCTCAGAATAATTGACAAAGGTTAAACTAAAAAAAGTTAATTTAGAGAATCCTCTAAATCTCAATGTAACTAGGAATTAAGGCAATTTGGTGAACTGTAAAACTAGTTCGCGTCAAAATCATTGTTCGGATTCGAACCGGGATTTTAGATTTTATTTACTTGTATTTCCTTTCTTTTCAAATTTCATCATAATTACTGCCAATTTTGCCCTTTATGTATAATACAAATAAGAATATCTTAAAAATATTTATCGAAAATGCACTTATAATTCAACGATATCTGTTATTTCCCATATTTTTAAAAATTTAAAAAGCAATGTCTAGCATTTGCCCTTTATGATTTTGAAAGATATTAAATAATATTTAGATATATGTCTGAATGAAATTTATATAAAATATAATTAAGCTTAGAATAAGAAACAATTACTTTATTCTTAAATAAATTTTTAAAATTTATCTAGGATGAATCTTTTGAGTGTTTTAATCCTTTTAATTTTCAATTCGATATTATGGAGTTTAATTAATTCTGTTAAAAATAATAAAAATCAAAACGAGTTGAATAGAGTTGAGGAAATCTCAAAGGATCTAAATAAGATATTAAATCATGATGCTGAATCGTCTGTTGCTTCTCAAAATCAAAATTATAAAGAAATATTAAAACCAAAAATTACTAAAATGTACAAGAATGACAATAAGTTGGCAGAAAAAAAGATGAAGAAAAAAGAATATCTTCGAAATTATCGACAAAAGAATAAAGAAAAACTGAAAGAAAAGAGAAGTTCTACAAATTTTAAACAAATTAGAAAAGAACATGATCGAAACTACTACTATAAGAATATAGAAAAGAGGAGAGAAACTGCTCGAAAGTACCGAGAAAAAAAGAAAAATGAAATGGAAAATTTAATAAATGAAATTTCAAAATTAAGAAATATTCAATCGGAAATTAATGAAGGAACTTCTTTTTTTAATCCTGAGATTAATGATTTTATCAGTAAAGCTAAATCGACAAAATCCTCAGATAACTTACCTAAAATATTAAATGATGGAGCTGAATCATCTGTTAATCCTCAAAGTAAAAAATCTAAAGAAAAGTTTAAGACAAATAATAATTCTGAAACTAAAAATGATCTACCAGAAAAAAAGTTGAAGAGAAAAGAATATAATGAAAATTATTATCAAAAAAATAAGAAAAAGATATGTGAATATAAACGAAATTACGTCCGACGTATGAAAGAAAATTTAGAAAATTTACGAAAAAATAAATTGAAAATTGTGCAAAATATTAATTCAAAATTAATAAATATTCAATCTAACGAAGGAAATTTATTACCTTATACTTGTGAAAGTATAGAAAAGGAACCGATTGTTTCCAAAGAGAACATCCAGTTAGAAAAAGGAGAAGATAATCCTATTCAATCTTCTCATAATGAGGAAGGAAATGCAAATGCTGAAGGAACTTCTTTTGTTAATCAACAGACGGATGATTGTGTAAATAATTTAACTGGACAACCAAATAGTCAATCGGCTGATGGCCATCATACTCAACAAATGGACGATCATGATGATTTAATCGATCTGAGTTTATTGGATGATTCGGATTTTTTGGATTATCTAAATTCTATTCTTAATTCCTGAACACATTTCAGATAAACAAGTGGATGGATTTTAAATAAGAAAACGCAAAAAATAAATCTTTCCTTTCTTTATATTTTCTGTGCTACAAATGTTTTCTGTGCAAAAAATCGTTTAAAAATATTGACAACAAAAAAAGTTATAAGGAATTTAAATGTGTCCGGTTACTTATGGCGCACCCTGTATTTTTCTTCATTAAATTTTCCTTAATTTTTTAATTAAAATTGCTTCGTTAGAAAAGAAGAGATTTTAATAAATTTTCAAACAAATGTTTGCAATTTCCGGATAATAAATGCGGTGTTATTAATAAAAGTTAATCTTATTGGTTTTCCAAAAAAAGATTTTTGTAAGAATTTTACAATTGATATCGGGAGAAGAATAAAGAGAGAATAAGCGAAAGGAGGAATTTTACAATTGGTTTTTGAAATTTTCAAAGGCCTTTTGAAATTCAAAAATTCATGGCCTTTGAAATTCTCAAAATTTTCGCCTGCGGCGCAAAAAAAAAATAGCAGATTTTGTATTTTGTGTGAAATAGAAGATTTTCTAATTTAATTTTGATTATACTTTTTATTTGGAAATTTAGTCCCTATCTACTTTTTAATCAAGATTTTGATACTTTTGATTGGCATTTTGTCGATCGGAGCCCTGAATTAAGGCAATTTGAGGTACCTGTAAAATTGAAATGGCAAAATCATTGTTTGGATTAGAACCGGGATTTTAAATTTTATTTGATTGTTCCTACTTTCTTTTCGAATTTCATCATCATCCAATTTTGTACTTTTTAGAAGGATACAAATAAAATCAACACATAAGTAATTATCGAAAGTGCACATATGATTCAATGAAATTTTTTGTTTTTTCCCATATTTTTAAAAATTTAAAAAGCCATGTCTATCATTTGCACTTTATGATTTTGAAAGATATTAAGTAATATTTAGATATATGTCTGAATGAAATTTATATAAATAAAATATAATTAAGCTTCGAATAAAGAAAAATACCTAACTTAAATTATTCTTAAATAAATTTTAAAAATTTATCTCAATGAATCTTTTGAGTGTTTTAATCCTTTTAATTTTCAATTCGATATTATGGAATTTAATTAATTCTGTTAAAGACAATAAAAATCAGAACGAGCATGAGGAAACTTCAACTGATTTAAATAAAATATTAAATGATGGGGCTGAATCGTCTGTTGCTCCGCAAAATCAAAATTATAAAGACTATTACCAAAAGATTAAAGAAAAAAGGAAGGAATCTGCTCGAAAATATCAACAAAATAATAAAGAAAAACTAAAAGAAAGGAGGAATTCTGAAAATTATAAAAAATTTAAAAAAGAATATGATCGAAACTACTACTATAAGAATAAAGAAAAGAATAAAGAAAAGAAGAGAGCTTCGTGTCGAAAATACCGAGAAAAAAAGAAAAATGAAATTTCAAAATTAAGAAATATTCAATCGGAAATTAATGAAGGAACTTCTTTTGTTAATCAACAGACGGATGATTGTGTAAATAATTTAACTGGACAACCAAATAGTCAATCGGCTGATGGCCATCATACTCAACAAATGGACGATCATGATGATTTAATCGATCTGAGTTTATTGGATGATTCGGATTTTTTGGATTATTTAAATTCTATTCTTAATTCCTGAACACATTTCAGATAAACAAGTGGATGGATTTTAAATAAGAAAACACAAAAAATATATCTTTCCTTTCTTTATATTTTCTGTGCTACAAAATGATGTCCAAATATTTTTTCATATTTATTTTTTAATTTAATTTTCCTTAATTTTTGAATTGAAATTGTTTCGTTCAATAAGACAAAAAATTTTAATAAATCTTCAAATAAATGTTTGCAATTTCTGGATAATAAATGCGGTGTTATTAATAAAAGTTAATCTTATTGGTTTTCTAAAAAAAGATTTTTGAAAGAATTTTACAATTGATTTACTACATTTACAAATCCTTTTGCGGAAATCTATAGCGAAAAAAGTAAAAAAAATAATAAATATAATTTTATTTTATCTAAATATTATTATTTTTTAATTTAAAAATAAAAATATTAATGAGACATAATAATTTTGAGTTTTTGAAATTCTCAAAATTTTCGCCTGCAGCGCTGAAAAAGGAAGAAATCTAGCTTCTTGGGTCCAAATCTCAAAAAATTTTCGCCTGCGGCGCAAGAAATGGAAT